TGTAACTGCACCAAACCAGAAGTCCTTCTTTTAGTCCGTATCTGCACTCTGAATTGACCTGCAAAGCCCCGAGGTGGATCCTCGAGGTAGACACTCCAATGCTTAAGTCAGCAATAATCGGGGCTACCTTTAGAGTGGAGAAATAGGGAGCTTAGGGTTGGTTCCAATTACCTTTTGGCGTGGCCCTTAAAGGGTATTTATATGTTCCGATGGAGAATCCACGCGGCATGCCAAACAAGACGCCAAGCAAAATATCCGGGATCCGATGTGTATCTCCAGGCAGTTATTTCAGGACCGAGAGATTGAGCAAAGCAAGATATTTGGGATTTGATGTGTATCTCCAAGCAGTTATTTCGGGACCGGGAGATTGAGATATATTTAGATGCAAGGATGTCCATCGTAACAGCTGTGTAGCTGTTCGAGCGGGAAGCTCTGGATTTACCCTTTACTCTGGTTGTAAAGGAATTACTGTCGTCCGTCCAAGGTTGGGCACCTCGGACCTGCTCTTACAGGTCCTCTTGTTGATATATTCTTCAAGTTAACATAATGTATAATATATTTATTAAAAAATCATTATTTTTTAAAATAAAATTAAAAACAGATAAATTTAATAATATAGTTATACATACAAGATGCATAAATTTATTGAATAAGCTATACTTTATATTATATTTTAATAACTAAATAAAAAAAGTATAAAAAAATGTATTGAACTAGAAGATATACAAATCATTTTCCAACTAAAAAACTACTTTAACCAATTGACTAATATACTTATTTTGTCTAGATTAACGTTGAAGAAAGGAATGTCAAACAGATATTTGCCTGAAATTGTCCTGACATGTCAAGAGAGTTAGTTAATAGGTCAATATCATTGATGCCTATATTTTTGTTTTTTAATTCTTCTTTCTTTGGTTGATTATATATATATATATATATATTAGATTAAAGATATCAAGTTTGCTTAAAAGGTATATTTTTTAATTAATAAGAATTAATTTTAAATTTCAAAACAAGTAAAGAGAATTAATTTTGAGTAAAAAGAGAATTATTTTATGTTGCACAACCTACATTTATTATATGAATCAAAAAATGAGTCTTCCTTCGTATACAGTATTCTTTTTGGTCAACAAGTGGGAGGAAAAGAGGAAATATGTATCTATAATTAGTTGCAGAAAATATTAAAAACGAAGGGGTAGGTGCTAAATTCATGATTAAGAAAGGACCCCATAAGATTGTAAAAAGGCTCTATTTCCATAATAATCTTTCATTAATTACAACTTTTTCGAGAGAGAAAAAAAAAAAAAACTTCTGGTTCTTTTCTCTCTCTCTCTCTCTCTCTCTCTCATTGCGTGCTCATTTCATCTATAAATTAAGTTAATTACCTATATAAGTACCATGCTCATGTTATCCTCAGAACTCCAATTTTTTGTGTAATTAGAAGAAAAAATAATCTAACTGGACTCATCCAATAATTAGAGTTGGCTCAAAGAAAAATAATCTAATAATTGGACCAATCCAATAATAAGGTTTAAACTCTTCTTCCCTGATTTTCTTTTTTATGAAAAACAATTATCTTATTAAAGTTAAAGAGATTATATTTGTATCTATATATCAAGGCACTACAGCGTAAAAACAACAGCATAACCTATAGCGCTATTGATAAACTTAAACTTTGCTTATGCCAAATATGGACAATTATGAAAAGAGGATTATTTGTAATTAGAGATTACATGTGCAAGCGCTATATAGGCATAAACAACACTAACTATAGAAATGAAATCACTACAAGTATCATAAGCGCTATATGCCAAATCCTTATTACTCGAATTCACCTCAATATCTTCATCCTTGTCATCAACTAGAAGACGGCCACTAGCAGAGAAATTTAAGATTCATCAAGCTTAATTAAAAACTTAGAAAGATCTTCGGGACTTTCCTTTGGCCCCAGATCTTGGGGATTCAAAACCCTTCTGTTTTGTTTATGGATCCATCACCAAATCCCTCAACTAATTAATATTGTAACTGATATTCCATTAGAGACTATGTATCAATTTATATGCCCATCTAGAAAGAAAGAGAAAAAAAAATAATTACACATGCTTCTACAGTGCATTATACAAAACATTGTAACAAAAAATATTGTGTCTCAACCATCAAAAAATATATTAAATCCTAGTCGGAATATTTTCTTGCAAGTGTCTTTGGATTATCCTTCATTAAGATTTTGAGAAACCAAGAAAATCTTTGTGAAAATGGTTGGTACCCCAAATCAAATGATATTTGATATTCCTTATATAAAATTTTTATCTTTCATCATTTTACTATAACTACTAAAGAATTTATCATGATTTTTAAATAAAAAATATAATTATACACTAAAAAATATTATAAAAATAGATAAATCCCAATCATTCATAACGAAAAAATGAATTATCAAACTTTATATAAATAATGTGTGTAAAAGTTACATATGAGTAAATCTTAACCATATAATATATATATATATCTCTATATCTTAGCAAAATTTCTTAAGAAACATGCATTCCAAAGTCCAAACCATATTTTCTCTTCTAAATGTTGACTCCAAAATTTCTTACGTTCCGAAAACAAACTTATTCCTTAATCAGATGGTAGAGAACATGAGCTCGGTTAGTTTTTATATATATATATATATATAAACCATAATAATTCAAGACTAAGGCATGTCAATTATTAGAAGCCACATTAATGTGGGATCAAAATCGATCAGTGTGGTTGTTGATATAAATAATTGAACTTCAATGCTGTGAGTATGACCTCATCCCTTCCCTTAGTAGAAGAAATAAAAATTTTCCAACGGCTATATATTCGGCTGATTAATTAGGTCGGTGGTACAGTTTGAATATAATGAATGAATTATGCTTCAAGTCCTCTCCTCCTTATCTAGTTTAATATCTCAATTTTTAACCCAATTAATCTCATGATATTTATAAATTACCCTATGAACTACCCTATCTACAGATATTTGAGAAAACTCCACTTTAAAGAGCAACAGAACATTCACAATATAATTCACATATATATCACGAATAATAATTGATACATATTTTAATTCAACACATTACATAATATATTTATTAAAAAATTATTATATTTTCATATGAAATCAAAGATAGACAAATTTAAAGATGAAAGCATACAAAATATAAAAATCAACTAAATTGCCTATAATTATATTATATTTTAAGAAAAATATTGGTATATCCTCCAATTTAACACACCCCACAACTCTCATTGGTTCAATCATTAAAATTTACAACTTTTAGTTTTTTTTTGCATTTAATTCAAATTTAAAAATAATAATTTTTTAATAAATGTGTTGTGTGATATATTGGATTAGAGAGTATACCAATTTTTATTCTATGTTTCTAATAAGTGAACCAAATGAGTGTCAAGAAATATATCGAACTAAGTATGTATCAAGCATTTTCTATATATCGATACTTACCACTTAAATCATCAACATCAATAGGTTTTCTTATCTCTATTAATTAATGAGTTTTTTAACTTGTGTGTTAACATAAATTAAAAGTATAATAAATATATTTGTCATCACAAATTTGTATTAAAAGAAGAAAAGTTGACATTTAATTTATTAATCATTTAATTAAACTCAATCGCATGATAATGACATTAAAATTAATATCAATTTTAACATTTTTTATATAAATTTATAGAAAAGAAATAACTTTAACTTATATTCTAAAGACACATATTAAAAAACTCTTAATTAATTAATTTGCTAATTTTCTTTCTCTTGATACCATGTTAGGATCATTCCACCTGGCGCAACCAAAGCATTGCATGTTACATCGAGGCTAATATTTGGTGTGAAATTTTTAGCCACGCCATCTCTTAATCCTAGGTGTCACCCCCCCGCCCCCCTTAGGGTTTTATATAGAACCCTAGAAAACTGCACAAACAATTTTGTTTATTATAAATTTCCAAGTTGAGGTTTTAAATAAAGGGTCAGGTGGATTTTCAATTAAGAAATCCAAAAATAGGGTTTCAACATGTGGGTGACCCTTAAATGCAAAGGGTTTCACTTGCTTACCCATATGTGTGTGTATATATATATATATTTATAGAGGCATATGTGATCACATGAAATCCTCACTCCCAAGTCAAAATCATATGCTTCTCCTCCATGATGGGTGGTTTAATTGTATTTTAATATTCTTATTAATTACTTACTACATCCTTCTAGTTTTGACTAATGCCAGTTCCAACCCACTACTATACTATATTCCCTCATTAATTGTAATGAAGGATTAATTTGACCAAGTGTTTTGAATGGTCCACTAATTGAAATAAACAGACCCGAATTTAATAAATATATGTAATTTCATAAATATATATATATATATATTGCTTTCTCTATATTCGTCAATTCCAGTCTTTGCAGTTTCGTATCCCTTTCCATGGGGATATAACAAACAGCATTAATGGTACTTCTTTTTTTAATATATATTTTGAGTTATATAACTCTCTCTTATCTCTCTATTCAGCTCATCTACATAATATACAAGTTAAACTAAAATCAAGATAAAAATCTTTTATTTTTATTAAAAAAGAATTATGGTTACTATAGGATCACTTATTTCATTGGATTTATATAACCTATACCTTTAAAAATACAATTAATATATTTTTTACAATTAATTTATATAAAAATGATAAAAATTCTTTTATTTTAACATCATTACTACATGAATAATTTTAATTAATTAATTAATTAAATTGAAATCAATATTTATATTTTTTATACAAATTAATTATTAAAATAAAAAATAAATACACCACTAACCTCCTAAGATTATAAAAAGAAAAATAATTCACTAGCAAGATCAATGTTACATTTCCTTATTTCCCTGCAAAAGTAATAGGGTTTGTTTCACTTGATCATAAAGTCAACTCCTTCAATAAACTTTAGGAATTCTTAGTAATTAATGCTACTCCCGATATATGTTGTTTGAGCTTTTTGTATGTATGTTTAAACAATATTTTTTATAGTATATAAATGATAATTAATGAGATTTTCTTTAATCTTACATGTAGTTTTTGTTGAATAATTAATTTTATTTGATAAAAAAAGTTCAATTATCACTAGAAAAATGATTTGAATATACTCTAGTTTAATATATATGCCAATACCCATCTCATTTAACTATTAAAATATAATACAGGTGCAACTAAGTCAATTGATTCACTCATATTGTATGTATAACTACATCTTTAAATTCTTTTACTTTTAATTTTGTATTAGAGAATAATAATTTTTAAAGAGTATCTTGAATTAGAAAATATATGTATCACTATCCTTATCATTAATAACTATATATATATACATATATATAAGTATTGCCTAAAAATATATGCAAATAAGGCAAACAACTTATGTTTTGAAATAGATGGAGTAATATATATATATACATGTAAACATAGATTTATACAATAAATTTGGATTAATTTCTTAAATGCTCCTAATCTGGTGTAAGAGGTAATTCATTTTCATCCTTTTATACTAATCTCATATTATAAGGGACGGCTTGGTATTAGAACTAATCCATGTATTTGTGATTTTCTTTTCATTCATAAAAAAATGCAGGATTAAGGCTTTACGTGCACCCTGGTATATAGATATATCGTTCCAAATTAGAAGTTGCTAGCAATTGGGATCACACAGAGAAACTGCATGCAAAATGTTGGGTCAAGTCACTACTAGAAAAATGATGTATACGGACCGACCATATACGGACCAAATATTGTCGGTCCGGATAAATAAATATTCGAACCAATATCGGTCTGAATATAGTCAGGGGGAGAAAATATACTTAATGAACATATTCGACCGGTATCGGTCCCTATATTTATGGCGGGATCTACAGTGTAGGTGCGCCAATAATATTCGAACCGTTTTCGGTCCGAATAGTATTTCTGAAAAAAATAAATATTAAATACCAAAAAATATGAATAAAATATTATTTAAATAAATATATACGGACCGGCTTCGGTCTGTATATATCCATTAGAGAATACGAAATTTCATTTTTATAGTCGGACCGATTTCGGTCCGTATATTTATTATTTTTCGTGAAAAATAAAGATTAAATGACAAAAATTAGGAATGAATTATTATTTTTAATGAAAATATACGGACCGGGATCGGTCTGTATAAGGGAATCTCTGAATTGATTGGACGTTGGGTCCCATTGACATTTTTTTCGGACCGGGATCGGTCTGGATAATGTTGTAAACAGCCTTCTTCCCTTCGTTTCGCCCGTCCCCCTCATTCTGCGATTTCTCCACAATTTTCCTCTGTTTTTTCTATCTTTTTTCTTCCTCTCCACTGCAAGCTTCTCCTCCAATCTCTAGCCAACCACCACC